ACGAACATGGTTTTTCTTCCAGAAAAAGCAGTTTTAATTCAGATAGTGCCCTTTGCATTGGACTCCGCGGCTAGGTTTTACTATGAAGAACCAACAAAAGGTATGAATTTGAGGTATTTAGAGTACAAGGTGAGTCTGAATGAGAGCTCTCTATTTGGGAAATACCCAATCGACAGCGACATTTACAAAAATCCCGATGCTATGCGTAATAAGGGATGGCTTGTTTTTAAGTCAATTTATATGGATAATCAAGATGTGAATGTTGATTTAGATAGGTTTAGAATAACCTTGTTGAAAGCCTTGGAGCTTGTTTGCAGATAGAGAGGTTTTTGTTTCTTGGATTGTATATATATATATATATATATATATATGTATTTATAGACACAAATATATAGAGAGATATATGTATACGTATATACATATATATATATATATATATATATATATATATATATATGTGTGTATATATATATATATATATATATATATATATATATATATATATATATATATATATATATATATATATATATATATATATATATATATATATATATATATATATGTTGCAGGTCCGACGTTTCTAATATGGTTTGGAACGACGCCACGTATCACGATATCCGATCCGAATCTCATCAAAGAAATATTCTTCTCAAAATCGGAGTTTTTCGAGAAAAACGAGTCTCCGATACTTATAAAAAAAATCGAAGGTGACGGTTTGTTGAATCTCAAAGGTGAAATATGGGCTCACCACAGAAGTATTATTCAGCCTCTTTTTCACGCTGAAAATCTCAAGGTATTTTTTTCGGTTTCGGGTTTCGGGTTTCGGTTTCACAAGCAATTATATTACCAAAATTTCAATAGTTTTATGTTTATAAATAAATTAATTTTTTATAATTATTTTGGGTGGAAATAGCTAATGATACCCATGATGGCAAAAAGCATGGGAGAAGAAGTAATGAAATTGTCGGAAGAAATATCGAATCATGATGGCAATTTTGTAATTGATGCATCAAATTGGTTCCAAAATTTAGTGGAAGATGTTATTACAAGAGCAATTTTTGGAAGCTTCTATGAAGAAGGGCGGCCCATTTTAAAGCTACAGGCCCAACAGGTGGCCCATGCCACCGAAGCTTATCACAAATCATTCATCCCGGGCTATAGGTAAAATAATCGGGCCAAGGAATAGAGGCCCGGAGTGAAGGATTTCGCCTTTTGGTACTTCGAAGAACGAATGCATGTATATCAATGTAGTGATTCTATCTATGTTTTTTTTTATTAAGGTTTTTGCCAACTAAAAAGAACAGAATTTCTCGGAGATTAAACAAGGAAATTCGGAAATCGTTGTTGAATCTCATCGGCCGTCGCCGGAGGACGATGACAAATTCGAGTTCTCCGGCGGTCTGCGGCGAACTTCCGAACGATTTATTGGAAATCATGATCAAGGCCGTAGACGAATCGGCGGCAAATTCAAACCACTTGCTAGCCATAACAGAAAACGACATCGTAGAAGAGTGCAAGACAATCTTTTTCGCCGGAAAACACACTACGTCGAATCTGCTGACGTGGACGGTTGTCCTGCTGGCCATGCATCCTCGGTGGCAAGACGACGTGCGTGAGGAGGTCTTGCGAGTGTGCGAATCACGTGACTCGCCTACTAAAGACGATCTCGCAAAGCTCAAAACGGTACGATGGAATGAAAATAAATTAAATTTTTTGGTTATTTTAATTTCAATATATTAATCATTTTCGTTTACAGTTAAACCTCTATAAATTAGTGAAATGCTTTTTACTATTTGAAAATTGCTATTTACGGTTCATAACAAAAAAATCTTTATCTCTCTAAAACCCCAAAACCTCCCTTAAAAAACCCAAAAACCCCCCAAACTGCAAATAGCAAAAACAAAAAAAAAAATTCGAAAATTCGAAATCAAACTTGAAGAAGGGTTAGGCTTCGATTTTTTGAGGTAATTTCGACTCCTTTATGTGTAATATGGGTAGGTCGATTACGGAACCAATTTAATGTTAAAAAACCCTACAAATCGATTTGCAGGGCTTTTTTTTTTCGCACATACATGGTAGAACGCCCAAGTCGGGCGCCTATGGCGGGTGTGAACGCCCATAAATTAATATAGTCGGGCCTAGCAAAATTCTACTAATTAATTTAGCGGAATATTAAATTATCGAACTAATAATTTAGTAGGTTTTTTCCGAGTCGGGACCAGAACAAACTTATTTAAGCGAGGTTAGTATTAATTTATCGATGTTCTACTGTAATATTCGATTTATTAATTTGATGTGCAGTTGGGAATGATTCTAAACGAAGCGCTGAGATTGTACCCACCGGCAGTCGCAATAATCAGGCGAGCAAAGGTGAATGTTCGATTAGGTGGGCTCCACATTCCGCAAGGTACGGAACTCCTAATACCAATCCTAGCCGTCCATCACGATCCGACACTTTGGTCGAGCGACGCACGTGAATTTAATCCATCGAGATTCGGTGGAGGTGTGGCTCAAGCCGCGAAGCATCCCATGGCTTTCATGCCCTTCGGCTTAGGGGCCCGCCGATGCATCGGCCAGAACCTAGCTGTTTTACAAGCCAAATTAGCCATGGCTATGATTCTTCGGCGCTTCTCTTTTGAGCTTGCGCCGGACTATAAACACGCGCCCTCGGTGCTTATGCTTTTGCACCCGCAACACGGTGCACCTATTGTGGTTCGGAATTTATAGAATTAATGATTTTTTTTTATTATTATTAAGAAAAAAAGTGTAAATTATATGAAAATGGGATTAGTCAAATTTAATCTAATTACAGTATACATATACACATATATGTCAAATAATCGGAATTTTCGAAAATATTTTCAGAAATTAAAATTGGATCGAAATGTAAAATGTAATCCAATTTTGCTGAAAACAAAACGAAAATTTGGTAAGTAGAAATTTTCGGAATTCAAACAGAAAAATATTGTTTTAAAATATAAAAAAATCAAATTAAAATCAATGGAATTCGGAATTTTCGTTCCAACTTGCACCAGTGCTCTGGGGGACTTCCAAATTTCCAAAATTTGGAATCGGCGGTGTTCAAATTTGAAAAAAAAAAAAATCAAGTAATTTTGTACATACAATTTCATTGTTCATCCATCTTTTTTTATTGGGAAGTCGAAATGAAAAAATATATTCCAAAACAATAAATAAAATAAATTCAAGGGGTTAAATATATTTCACACCTCTAAAATATACCGTTTGTAATACTTAATTAAAAAAGTTTGTTTAAAAATACAACATTTTAAAGTTTAAAAATATTATCTTGCATTAGAAACCTATTTAATAAATAACCATCTAATTGTTGTTGGACCAATTAATCGAATATATTTATATCGATAAATTTTCAGAAATCAATACATAACTAATCGTAATCTTTAAGTATTTAAATTTATATTAGTTCATTTTTTTAAATATATTCTCGTTCATTATTACACAATATATATATATGTGTGTGTGTGTGTGTGTGTGTATTACCTTTTAATTCATTTTCAATAATTTAATTTTAGTCACTTTTCAATTTTATATGATCCAACAACTATTATATTGTTATTTTTATTATGTTTTAAATTTTCAAATAGAAAATAATTTATGTTGAAGGGAGTAAGTGTTAAAAATAATATTTTAATAGGGTAAGTGTCACATAGGCAATATTTTAAGGGTGCAAAGTGTAAAACACCGTATTTCCAATTCTCACCCCTATCCCACCCGTTGAGGCACGATTTGTTCGATGCTACACCCGGGTGTTTTTCACCGGGTGTAGCATCGAAGGAACCGTTGAGGCACTCCGCTAGGGGGCTAGGGTGCAATTAGTAGAGAAGCAGCGACACGTGCGAAACTCATCACACGACGACCGAGTCAACCCACGAGCGAGCTATTCTTTATACAGTAAAAGCCACCCTAGTTTGGCTCTCTCACCCCCATTTCTCCATTTTTCTTCTCCCATTTCTTTAATCCGAAATTTCTAGAGAGAGAAACTGATTGTTGTTGAATCCAGATCAAACCCCGACACGTTAATCGAGAGAATCGAATCGAATCATGTGGAGAAGGGCCTGTATCCATCTTCGGACCATCGCCCCGACACGATCCGTCACCGGGTCCACCCGCTGCGCCGTACGATCGCCGGCTGCTACCGGAAATCTCACCCGTGCATCGTCCATCTTCTCTCGCCATGTTTCTACTGAATCTGGTATGTACTTTCCCCTAACCCTAATTTATTTCTCTTCTTATTTTTTTTAGGAGTTAAATTCGATATACCTGGTTTGTGGTGATTGTTTGGGGATTCATATTGATGAATGATAATGTATGTGTTTAGTGGGGAGTGCGACTGCGATTAGAGTACAGGATGTTATGCCGATTGCTACTGGTCATGAGCGAGAAGAGCTCGAAGCTGAATTGAAAGTTAGTATTTGGCTGTTTTAATTTTTTTAATTTTTTTTTTTGTAAAAGATAAATCTTTTGGTTATTTGATTAATGTTTTTGCCCTTAATATTGTTATTAGGGAAAGGACATTCTTGAAATCAACCACCCATCGGGTCCCTTTGGAACGAAGGTTGGTGTTATATCTTATGAATTTTATTCGATATCTCATTATGTTTAGTTTCTCGAGTTTTTGCTCGTTGCCCGTTAAAAAAAAAAGGAAAGAAAATGAGTGTTCATTAGTGCAAAAGAAGAGCGTAAACATTGCATAGCTTCTTAATTTAATTAAAGTAGGCACTGTTAATGTGTGTATTGGAACTAATTAGTTATGTAGACAGTATGGAATATTACTCAATTAAGTTCTCTGTGCCCTGAAACTAGACATTGTATATGATATTTCTCAAGTTGTGTTTTGTTTATCTATGTATGTATATATGTTACTTATGTACGGGCTTTGAAAATTGTTCCATTCGTACACTTTTTAATGTATATAGTGTTGTTCCATGCTCCCTTTCTTCAGACAAGCTTTTCTAACCGAGGCTTGCTCTTTTTGGTTCTGGTATTCTTGAAACCAGATTGTCTTGAGTTTGATGTTATATTTGAAGAAAATATATACATACCTGCCTTTGTGTCGTTCCATTCTGCACTTTTATGTTGTTTCGTTATCCATTTTACTTCTCGTAAAAAAAATCATGCAAAGGGGAATCTATACATATCTGCCATTTCGCCCGCAGGAAGCACCTGCAGTGGTTCAGTCTTACTATGGCAAAAGAATTGTGGGATGCCCTGGAGCTGAAGGGGGTAAGTTTTTATCGGATTTAATTCTTGTTTATGTGTTGCACTTTTTTGTTTCTTTTAGTTCCATCATAACCTTTGGTCATTTGTTCTCCACCCAATATTAAACAGAGGACGAGCACGATGTTGTCTGGTTCTGGCTAGAGGAAGGGAAGCCCCACGAATGCCCAGTTTGCTCCCAGTACTTTGTGGTAAGTAACGAGTGGATTAGCGCCATTAATTAACTAATGAATGTGGACTATAATAACTTTTGAACACATCGAAAATCATGTACCACCTATGTTAGAAACCAATGAATTTATCGAAAATCCGTGCATGGTCCTATAGGAGCGTCATTTACTTGTTCCTTTCCCAAGTTCACACTGACACATATAGATACTGTGAGCATGCTAGTGAAAATTGAAAACCATATGTTATTAAGTTATAATGATTGAAAAGGAAGTGTTGAAACTGCAAAGGCTATGTTTGTTGGCTAAAATGCTTTGCAGTGGAACAAGTTGGAAATCGATGATTGTAAATTTAGTGTATGATAAGTAGCTCGAACGAAACTTTTACCATGTAAATGTCTTATTGCTCTCGCCACTAATTCACATATTGGAGGTCTATGAAATGTGACCTTGATAATAATAATCGAAATTCTTGACCCCTTCATCATTATTTCCAGAATATTTATCTTACCGGATCTCCAAGTCGGTTTTTTCCCTTTGCTTGTTCTTCTTACTCTAGAAATACTTTAGCAAGCACCAAGCATCTCAACTTATTTGCCTTGCCTTTTCATTTTCTCCTTTGGTTTATTTTTTTTTTTCATGTCTCGGTTTTCCAATTCTTCACTTTCTTTCTTTTACCAACCAAAGAGTAATATCATTTATTTCTAGTGTCCAAAAATGAAAATGTATATATGCCTTGTTCTTGGTTGACAGCTGGAAGTTGTGGGTCCCGGTGGACCTCCAGACGGGCATGGAGATGACGAGGATGATCATCATCATCACTAGCTTGCAGTGTGCTCCCAGAATAAGATATATATGGTGACAAGATGAGGGACTTTTATGATATTCTTCAGCTTTCATAAGCTTATTTGTTTACACACTTCCAACCCATTTTTCGTTTTTTTCGGATTTAAACCATGGGCCGGTCATCCATTCGAAATTTGGATTTCGGCCTTTCTTTTGTAGGATACAATAATCGATGGCAACATATTCTAGCCACTTTGTTTTGTTCTGCAATCTTGGATTTCAAATACATCTTGGTTATTTTAAGTTTCTAATATTGCACAATCGTTCCTCATCGATAATCGAGTTTTTTTTTTTAATAACATAAAAACAATTCTAAATTAGCGTTATGATTGTTATCATTCCTCATTGCAATATCCTGCTTAAAAGATATAAAATTCAATAAGTAATGTAACATAATCCACGTCAAAGAAAAATGAAAGTCTAACATAGCTACTCCTAATTTTTCCTCCTCAACCAGGTATAAAATACCTCGAACTCGAACGATACTGTACATTTTCCCCACGATCCCGTGATGACCCATTTTCCCTCAAACGGGTCGACCCATTTCCCCTCCGTTCATTCGATCTCAACGGTACACTCATTGCATTGTTCCTACCGTAATACTCCGACCCAAAGAAATAGGCCGAGGCCTCACCAAAAACAACTTCATCCTCTTCGTCCTCATCAAAGTCGGACACCTCAGATTCGTCGGAGAAGCTCTCGCCGCCGTCGAAAAAGTGGTCGACTAACGCGTGCCTCTTCAGCTCCCTGTAGCTTCCGGCAAAGCCACACCCCTCCGCTGAGCATCCTCTTTGTTGGGAGTCCATGAAGACCCGCGCGGGGCCCACTACGTCGAACCCGGTGACGGCACCCCTGCAGAGGGGGCAGGCAATCTCGGATTCCCGTGACGACGACGACGTGGCGGATAGTTTGCGGAACTGGTCGAGGCAGTTGGAGTGGGGGTGGAGCGTGTCGCAGATGAAAGGGCGGCAGCCTTTGTCGCGAGACGAGCAGTTTAGCAAGACGGCGTTGTGTGGGCGCTCCATACATATCGGGCACTGGATTTCTTCCCACTCTGTTACGTCGCCTACGTGGGACCCCGAGATATCACATCGATCGTCCTTGCCCAAATCCTTCGAGCAAGGGGTAGTAGTTGTTTCGTCGAAAGATGCGGAATTTACTATTTCGTCCTTCGGCATCTTGAAGATTTACAACAACTGTTGTGTGTTTTCTTCTTCCTCAAGTGGTAACTGTTTAGAAAAAAATCAAAATCAAAACTTTATGAACTTAACAAGATAACATATAAAACTTAAAAGCACAAGTTCATATCTCCACTTCAATGCAAATTAATCCTCAAAATAAAAAAAAAATAAAAAAAAAAACTAATTAATCAGCCCCTGCAAATTAAAAAGAAAATTAAACACAATCACGAATGTAGGAAGAACAGACGAAGAAAACAGCGAATAATCAATCAATTAGTTTAAGGAAAAACAAAAGGCGAACTAATGAATCTACCATCTGAAACCCTAAAATTCACGAGATCGACCTCTGAAAAAAAACGAAAATTAAAGTTCGTAACACACGAGAAAGAAAGAACAATTACATCACAGATTTAAAAAAAAAAAATTAAGGAAATTATACGTACCTAGGGCAGATCTGCGCACGATTGGAGCTACGAATTTTCCCTAAACAAAATATGAAGAATATATACAAAGGGATGAGGACTTGAGAGAATTACGTGGGTGAAAAGAGATTATGAGTTAGTGTTGGCATAAGGTTTTATATTTGTAAGTAATGTTTAGGGTAAATAGCACTTTAACCCCTGTGGTTGCAAGATTTTGCAGATGACCCTCTTGTGCTCGTAATATCATCACATAACTCCCTTGTGGTTTACGATGGCTAGCTTCTGTTAGTTTTTCCGTTAAATTTAACCGTCTGTGTCAAATTTCAAGGGGATCATTTGCAGAAATAAAAGGGAAAATGTAAGCGCGAGGGGGTTATCTGCAAAAGAAATACTTTGAAGTTTGACATATGCTTAAGTTTGACGAAAAAAACTAACGGAAGCTACCCCTAAACTACAAGGGGTTTATGTGTTGATATTACGAGCAGAAGGGGGTCATCTGCAAAAGTTTGTAAACGCAGGGGTTAAGTGCTATTTACCCTAATATTGATTTTAATTATGTTTTCCCTTTTGTTATAAATATTAAATAATTATATATTTTTCCTTACAATTTATTATTTTTTTTCATAATATTTTAGAAAGGTTGACCGTTGACTTCTAGTTTCGATTACCTTTTTTTTTCACAAAAAAATTTTGATGCTTATAAATTTTAATTTATCATTTTTCCTCAATTTTTTTTTTTTAATTTATCATTTTAATTTCATAAGCAAGTTTCATTCATAACGACTAACAAATACAAAAATAAATATAAAAAACAAAATAATAATAAATAAATAAATAAAAATAGTGCTTGAAACATTCTTCGCAGTTTCTTCACCCATATGTGTTAAGGGATGCACATACTTAGGCGGAGATTATAACGGGAAAATGCCTTACTACATTTCTATAAATTCATCACAAATAAAAATTAATCTTTTCATAATATATTTTCTTATTTTATTTTTAATTTTATTATTTCTCCAAGATAAATTACAGGAACAAGAAAAATGGAAGGCCAAGGTCCAAACAAATATCCAGGCCAAGCTCAGGTAGGGATATTTTTTGTTTTTGTTTTTGTTTCGATCGATTTTTTTTTTTTTTTTTTCCGATATGCATTATATATTTTGAATTAAAATTCTATATTCTATGATTAATTAAACCGTATGTTTATATAAATTTATTACATGACCTTCTATATATTTGAAATATTTCTTTATCTCCGAGCATATATATATGGACTGTGATTCGTGTACCGTAGTGGTAATCGGAAAGGATCGGGAATTTTCGTTTGTGAATGAATATTACATTTCTCAATTTATTTATTTTTCCATTCTTCTCATAATTTACTTTCATTGTTAATTTTCCTCACCTAATTTATTTTGTTTCTTTAAAAAAATAAATCTCAATTTTAGTTTAAATTTACTAATTTCTCCTTTTGGTTCTATAATGGTAGATGAGGAGGGAATGGGATGACACTCAAAACCAGCAATCGGACAGCCAAAGCACCAACTTTCTTCAAGAGGTAATTAAATGAGGTGATCAAAGAGAATTAATAAGGGTAAAATTGGAAAAAAGAAATGCATTAAAATTTTAAAGTAACAAATAATATCCCAATATATATAGCGACGACAGCTAATTTGAAACGAATGGAGTATACACTAATAAAGCATCGGTTGATGATATTTTAACATACATATAATATAAAAAAAAAGACTGGATCGTCGGTAAAGAACATAGCACAAGGAGCGGCGGATGTGGGAAAGGGAGCGGCGCAAGGGGCGGTCAGCCTGGCCAAAGGGGCGGCACTAGGGGCGGCAAACATAGCACAAGGCGCAGCCGATGCCGTCAAGAACACTCTTGGAATCAACCAACCAGCTGATCACAACAACAACAATATGATCAACACCACCGGCGGCCACCACTCCACGGCCGCAGCCGCCATGAACTTTCCTGGAAGCACCACCAATATGGGCGGCGCTACCCGCGCAAGCAACGCGGATATCGATTTGGAGGGGTTGACGTATCCGAGCAGCACCACCCACAATCCAAGCAACCCTAATACCAGGATTTGAAAATCATGATTTCGGCCTTAAATATTTTTTGCTTTCGTGCAATGAATTTTCTTTTTTGTTTGAAATAATTGTTTTCTTATTGTTTATTAAATGGTGCATTTGTATCCCTTATATAAATTTGAAAATTAGTAAAATAAATTGTAATTTAACTGTTTTTTTCTTTTCGGTAAATAAGCAAAATCTCCGAAAAAATAATAAAAATGAAGAGTTATAATATATTTTAATCGTAATGAACTAAAACAAGTCGTTTTTTGTTGTTGTTCACATATTAACATGATAAATAAAATATACAAAAAAAATATTAAAGTACTCTTGACACGTTAATTATTTCTCAATTACTTATATTTCAATTAACTAAGAGTGACAAATGGCATAATTGGATTTTTTTTTTTTTTTTGGCAAATAACACATTTTTTAAAATGATAAATAATCTGGGATAAAAAAATTAAGTCTTCAAAACAACAAAATTGTGGGAAGAAGAAACACACACGCACGCGCGCGCACACATGCACACGAGTAAACTGTCATGGCAACAAGAAACACGTACACACACGCGCTCATGCACACGAGTAACTGTCATGGCAAGAAGAAACACACACACACAGAAAGGAGTAAATCACTAAATTGCTATAGCAAGAAGAAAAATGAGTAGCAAAATCGCACGCAAAAGAACACGATTTCAGCATAGTATATCCCATTCACCACTTCCAGTCGGAATTTCTCAAAACTTGATCACAAAATGTAAAAAATACAAACTCGATTACCTATCGCCACATTCAGCTTCTTTCAGGAGAAGACCGAAAAGAAAAAGGGATTACAGTATAGAATAGTACAAACCAAGAAAAGAAAAATAGAGGAGACCCATCATTCAAATCTACAAGATCCACCAAAACAGGAGATACATACACACACACATATATGTATACATACACGACTAAGAACCTCTTCTGCTTCGGCTACCCCCGACATTTTTTACGTTGGTCAAATCAGCAGGGTACAAGTCTTTGTGAACACCACTGCTTCGAGGCACTTGAGATGGAGACCTAGGAGATGAATTTGACGGGCTCCCTCTAGAAATCTCCGATTCCAAAATGTTCGCTTCTTCGGCCAACAATTTTAGCTGTTTCGATATTTATTAAAAAAAAAAAAAGCCAAATATGAAGTGTAAAATCCAGCTAGGCGAATGAAACGACTAAAGCTGAATACAAAGACTGATCATTACCTGAATTTCATTTTCTCTCAAGCGATCTTGAAGAGCACTCATGGCAGGATTTAAGCTGCAACGAGTAACATATAAAATATCACCAAACCCCGAAAATTGCTAAAATCGAATTATTTTTCGTCAACTATTCTTACCAATATTCCATCATCTTGCACATGGAAGCCTTGTACGTCGATGAGTGATGAATGAAAGAAAGAGGATGAACTTTCCCATTCCTTCAGAATTGCATCAATAAAAAAATTAAGAGGCGGCTTATAATTAACAATACCATCAAAAACTCGGTAATAAGAATTAAAATGAAAGAGTACTCTTAATAAGATTTACCTAATATTTTGTTCCAACGCTTGGTTATATGCAGTTTTCTCCTCTTCGTACAATACGCGTTGAAGATTTGTAAAGGACGAAAGAGGCGAATCGAGGCTGAGAAGTGAGGGTGTCGGCAAAACATGAAGAGGAATTTCCTTTCTGATATATTCTGCACCACTGCCAACAAAAAAACAATGTCCTTTTATAGGATTCATAACAAAAACACGAATTAATCACCTAAGGCCTCGTTTGGTTGGTAAGGTAAGGCCATGATTAATTAAATAATTACATATAATTTGATGTTTGGTTAGTGCAACAACTTTTCGGGCAGCCACAACTTTTCGATGGATTGTGTATCTTATCATGGCTAAAGTTATCTTGATAGCCAAAGGAGGACTAAGTGATTACAGTGTTAAAATTTGCTTCAAAAAGATTCCCTTTTTTTCTGGTCTCGGTTAGAGAAAAACGAGAATAATATAATGATAAATACTCACATTACCTCATCTCCAAATTTGACAGATGCATGGCTTCTTGCATACCTTCCGATGTATCCATCGGATCCAAATCAAGAATCGCATTTTTCAAGCTGTAATTACTACTTCCATTTCTGGAATTAGAGTTCGCAAAATAACCTCCCAACTGCGGAGATTTCCCCGCCCCCTAAAAGCCAATCAAGAAGTGCCACATCACACATCAGCAGCCAAGTAAAGCATTTTGACTAAAAGGAGAAAATAATTCAAACAAATGATTTTAGGCACCTTAGAAACCATAGCAGTTCCCCTAGAAGAATCTCCAGTGTCTTGTTCCATATTTTCTCCTCTGTTCGAGCCAAACACAACTAAGGTATTCTCCGAAGAACTCATAGATGATTCAACATCGATAACGGAACTTTTTATTACGGGAGTTAGAGCAACGGTTTTCATCATTTGATTTTGCTTTCCGTCCAATGACTGAAATGCAATGACTTGTATCCTTCCAACCTGTAATAATGATTTAAATCAATTTAAAATAAACGAAGAAAAATGAGGAAAATGTTATTAGCAATAAATAACCTTTTGAGCGTCTTCGCTGAAACAGGAAAATATCAGCCCGATAAAGCCAGAATCCAATAGCTGATACATTGCCTGTGTCCGCACATCTGCACAAATCCCACAAATAAAAAAATTAAAAAGAATATAAATAAAATTACTTATGAAAACAAGCTCTTTACAAAGGTAAAAAGACAGCATTAGCATTATGTCAAATATTTTCATCTTCTATACGTTGGTCGTGAATATACTTATTTATTATGAAAGGGTAATTTGGTCATTCAATTTAATTGTATTCCATCCCTAAGCATTTATTTCTGATTACCATAGAAAAATCAACAATAAATAATGATTTCCTTCATTTTCAATCATTATCGGAAACTACTAATTAGAATAAAAAAATAAAAAATAAAAACTCACCAACATGAGAAGGAAGGACTGTAATATGAGGATGCGAGTGATACCATCCAATCACTCTAGTTGTAGTTCCTGTTGCCACTGTCATTCTGTGTTGTAAAGTTAATCGAACAAAGTCGCGAGCTTGAAAATTTGATTATAATAGTTTATTCTTTTCTCATTAACAATTTTAAGAATATAAAATTCTAGCATATAAATTTCAAATATTACATATTTTTACGCAAATTTTCAAATGTCAACGAGATTATTAAGCATGGAAAAAAGGATATCTCTGCATGAACTGATGCAGCGGTCAACTGCTCTGGATTAGTTTCGACTCTATCTTTCTGTCGGTCGGAGCGTGGTTGAGGAAGTGCTCCCCAAATCAATGCAGTTGCATGACCGTTTTTCGAAATCTGAAACAGAAAGCAGGGTAATTTAATTTTATTCAAGTGCATATAATTTCAGTAACAAAATGGACGAAACTGCATGTATATTTGAACGACACCCCAAGCTATAAAGAAAAGTAAAGAAAACACGCAATCACAATTAAGTGGATATAAATATTCGAACTAGATTATTAATATGAAGGACGCCCCGTTCACCAACACTTGGCAATAACAGAATAACTATAATTACATGTTTTCATCATTGCTATAGCTAATACATGTAGCAAAAAACAACAAAGAGAGCCGACATAAAAATCATTAATTACTTTGCAGTAAATAAATCCATCGCCATTCTTGAGTCCGTTGCCTTTCGGAACTTCAATATATGAAGCCCTTAATGCTTCAAAATTGAACGACGAAATCTACGAGTTTCCTAAACGTTTCGGAACATAAGTTCATAGGACCAAATTTATGAAATTCTAAACCACGAACCGTAATAAAGTTAAGGTAATTAACATATGAGTCCGTATGAGCAACGTCGAAATTAAAGACTTTATGAGGCTAGTTCAAGATTCTCTTTAAATTTCACGAAACCTGCATAAAAAATCAGAACCCTAAAAAAATTGCTATATGGCATGGTCTTCATAAATTCCTCATCTCTGAATAAACTCAACCAGAATTTCTCTTCGAGAACCCACTTTCCGAAGCACAACTGAAATTAGACCTAAGAGGTAACTAGACAACAAATTCCTTAGAGGAAATGTGAACTAACAAAACTCATTTGTAACAAAAATAAAGCCATTAATTTAACATAGGTAGAACTCATAAAATGTGGGAAAGTATCAAAAAGAAAACAGAAAAAACGACACCGTTTAATCAGAACCCATTAGGTCAGAAACATCAAAAAATACTAATTCCTTGCACAAAAACTCAATTGGAACAGAAAAAAGAACAAAAACAGAAACCATACAAAATTAAAACCAATAAAAAAAAGGGGGGGAATCGAAGAACCTGAATATCACCGAGAAGAAGACCCATGATCTCTTCAGTCTCAGTGGACAATGCATGGGTCAGACACGTCAGCCACACATCCTCCGACATCTTCACACTCGTTAGCGACATCCTTTTCTTTCTCGCTCTATATCTGTATCTATCGATCAATATATATATCTATATACGCGGAGAATCTTTTGCTCTATGAAAAAATCGATTACGGTTTCTCCAGAAATGGCTGCAAAATTATTTGATTAGCAGCTCGTCGGACCAAAGAATCAAAAAATTGGAAATGTTTTCTGTTTGGGGGTTTTCTCTCTCTCTTTCAGGGGACTCCGCCGTGTAATTGGAAGGTGTTGTGGGTCGCAGCGTTCATACTCTGCACCCGCGGTTCCTGGCCGCTTATTTTTGGATTAATTACAATTTTGCCCTCTTAAGTTCAATGATATGGAGGATTGAATTTTTTGGTGGAAGTTTACCTCGATTTCAACAATTTAACATTTTTTGTTATTTTCGTTACTTTACTGTTTATATGTCAATGAAGATAATGACGTGTGTCCTATTTGATGCTGATGGAGATAATAAAAAAGGGTTTATTAGGGAAAACCCCCTTATTCATATTTTCTAATGAGGTAGATCCAATTTTTTTTCCCCTTTTTGAGATACACCCAATTTTGCCAACTTGGCAAAATATATTATATAATTTCCCTTTAATACCCCTGTTTTATTATTAAACGACATTTATTTCCTTTAATACGTGATTTGAGATTTGCTGATACGTTGCCTAAAATCACGGAATAAATTTACGTGAGATCATTGGCCGTTATATCAAATCGTGTACAATATTTTTTGAAGATTCTCTTCATCGTTCCAGCGGGTTTTATCGTCTTTGAAGATTTCTGCACCGTCGTGGAAATAGGATCGATTTTTGAGCGTTTGTTAATTGTTGGACGTTGTTAAGCGGGTATGAATGCGTTATTCGTTTTTATTTTTTGCTCAATGTCCATGATTGTCGTGTACGGTGGTTAGAAATTTTTAAGAATTGTGTTGATACTTGATTATATGAAGTAGAACGTTTTTTAACAAAATTATTCCGTCATATATATATCGTTTTTTTTGGCCGATGATGTTTGTTTGGAAGAGGATTGACAGAGTTAGAAGAGGATGGTTCACGCAGATCGGACCAGAGTTGTTTTATATGAGCTTCGTAGTTGGTTTATGCAATAATCGGAATAATTGTCCGCTGTGGTCGAGTTCATGTTTTTATCCCGATCGATAGTTGGTTTATTTGTTTATAACAGCCGATTTAAGTGTGCTGGGTAGTACATTAAAATATAGTTCATAGTCTTTTTTAATTTAGCGTATGGATTTTGCATTTTAAGTTTATTTTTGATGATATTAATGTATTATCATTCAAATGTATTTGCAGTCTATTTAATCATTTTTTAGTATTCTGCATTTTTAAATTTGTTTCATGATTTTAGGTTTTTTCGATGGCGAATTTCGTACGGATTTTGTTGAGGTTTGGTGGGTTGGTTGCTATAAAGAGGTGTTTACGATGTAATGGCTCGGTAACTTCGGTTAAGTGTTAAACCGTTGTAATACAGTAGTATACTATTATGAATACCGTATGATACTACCATTTTCATTTTATTATACTATTATGAGATTATTAATGTACTAGAGTTTTTTAACTCGACATATTGGTTTGATTGTGTTATGATGTGTTTTATGTATTTAATCAAAACCCTAGATTGAAATTATGAGATTATTAATGTACTATTTTATTGGTTATGTGGAATACTTTACGTTGGTGTAGTTCTCAATGTTCTTGTCATTTCAGTAGTATATTGTTTGTAACACAATTTCATATCACTACTATAACCGTAATATACTATCATAGCAGATTAATGTACTATATTGAAATTATTAATATACTATATGTGGTTGAATAATACGGTATCCATAGTCAATTAACGAGATCCATAGTCGAATTAGATCAATAAGATAGTCTATTACATGATATAAGGAAAATTACCCTAATTGATTAGTATTTGAAACAAACATATTATTCAGTTTCCATATATATTATTATTTTTTCATATATATTATTATTTACCCTAATCGTTTTCATATAATAAGGAAAATTACCCTAATTGATTAGTATTTCAAACAAACATATTATTCAGTTTCCATATATATTATTATTTTTCCAATAGTCAATTAACTAAACCCATAGTCGAATTAGATACATGGGATAGTCTATTAAAAGATATGAGATAGTCTATTAATTTTAAAAACAAATCCGCCGCCGTCACTTCTCAAATCTAGGGTTTTGATGATTCTTCGGCCCATAGTCGATTAACGAGATCCATAGTAAAATTATACCAGTGGGATAGTCTATTAAATGATATGGGATAGTATATTAATACAGATGTAATTCGACTATGCATCTCGTTAATCAACTATGGGCCGAAGGATTTGATATTATTTCAAAAGGTAAAGTAACGGGATTTGTAGGATTTGATTGAGGGTAATTATGTAATTACGAAAAGCTTGGGCTTTTATCAAAATGGCAAATTTAAATTTGGATCTATCCCTATTATTTGAATGTTTAAGGGGGTTATATCTAATAGACCCAATAAAAAATGTTAAAATTCTAAAATGGGAAGACTAAATCTATTTTGTAGAACAAGGAGGACCAAATGTGAAAAATTATTGTAAACTTAATAGACGAAAAATATTGGTTTCCTAGATTTTGATACATAAGCAACAAATTATAATATTTAAACGTAAAATTCTCTTAATAGTTATAACTATTTAATATTTTTAACTTTAACCCGTTAAAATTGTAAGTACGCTATACTTCCCATTTTGTTTGTCATTCTATAGAGAAAAAAAATTATTTCAAAATAGTTGTCATTTTAGATTTCTAACGAAGTATTTATTCTATTTTTCATATTTGCCCTTACTACTTTTAATAAAATTAGGTGAAACAATTAATGAAGACGAGTTTTTAATCATTTTATTATGATTTTTCTAGAATCCATGCACATTTAGTTTTATTAATATGTGTGCATCAGCTCAAAACAACAAATAAAATAGAAATGAGGGAATACTTAATTGTAATATGCAAAACAAACCACATTCAATAAGTCGGGTTTCATAGCCCGAATAACATAAATTGTAAAGTTGGGTTTCATACCCCAAAATTTCCAAAAAAAATCGAAAAAGAAAATAATTAATAAGATCATATGTAATTTGTATTAGCAATAAGTATATAAGATTTTTCTAATAATCTAGTATATATGCATGTGTCAAAAGTGTGCGTGAGTGTGTGTGTGTGTGAAAAATGTGTTGGAGTGGGTATTTCCAAGTGATTGTGAATTAGTGTAAGTGTGAAAGTTGAGTATAACAAATTTTGAACTACATAAGTTGAGATAGCAACCAATAAGTTGAGTTATTTAACCACATAAGTTGAGTGAAAGATGCAATAGATCCATGTGAATTCGATCTGGATTGGTCCGAATCGGGTCAACTTTCGATCCGTTCATATATGTTGATTTTCGTTTCGATTCGATTCTTTTTGGAATGTGCTTTCTGGATCAAAAATTTCTCAAACAACTTTAATTAAAAACATATTATTAGTTCATAAAACATATATAAAATTGTGAGAATTTCACTATTTATACATGAACAATTTCAACATCTATACCTCACAATCTTTCTTTCCCAACCCTCTAATTCTAATCAAACAAATGTAACTTGCAAATATACACACAAATCCCTTGAGACTACTGAATAACTGGTTTTTACAGAAACAAAAAATATAAAAAACAAATATAAAAAATTAAATAATTATACATATGAAAATGTATACACTATGAACATATATGATGAACTTCATTTACCTCGTGCGTACTCAACAGCCGATCGGGCTAAAGAGTCCACGGGATCCACGCACCTGCGCCACAGCGGATCATCTGGCGGCAAAAGCCCACGAAACTCGTCCGAAGCAACAACTATTTTGTTCACGGCTTTTACGAGAAGAACTTGTAGTGCAATTCTGAATAAATTCCGGGCTCCTTCAAAGTCTTTTCTGCTTATTGCCTCAATTGCAGGGATCACGATGTGTGCTACGGTTGCCTTATCCGGCATTATAACTTCAAAACCCTGCGAATATAATATCGAACCCCCGAGATATATCATTTTACGGATCATCGAAAAACTCGATAGTTATTAGAAGTTTATAAATCAATGGGAAAAAAATCATCTTTTCCGGAATGTGGAATTGAAATACGAACATATGAGTTATGACTTATGACCATGATCAAGATTCTTTGGAGCAACGTTCTTTAACTACTTATTACAGCTACAAAAAAAAATGATTCTTGCTTTTATCTTACTATCTTAATTTTACAACATATCAAGAAATGACGAACTTCAAATTATTTCGATTGACATATACGAGAACCTAAATTAATCAAAAGGGATAAATAAGTTTTATATATACCTCTTGTTCAAGTTTCTCCTGATAAACTTTAGCTACCAAAGTTGGATTAATGGCAAGAACACCGATACGAAGAGGGCTTCCAGCTTCGATCGGCTTTAATTTCGCCTCCTTTAGTTCCTTAGCTACACATTCACCCATATGAAGAAACGGAACAGAACATCCTTCTTTAATCTCGTCGTGCCACAAATGCGACACGTGGCAAGGCATCGCAATGCAACAAACTCCAGATTTCTCGAGAAAAACCCTCTTACGCCTTAGATTTTCCACTATAGAACTCTGATGACCATTGTGTGCGGGTCCCGTTTTACCGGACGGAAAAGCGAATGAACTTAGCTCGTCATTTCTCAGAGGGGGGTCTTTGCAAACGACAAACGGCGAATTAGAGTCGAGTTTCTTGGAGAAATTTAGACTGGAATCGGAAAAGAGACCTCCGATTATCCCTATACTGGAATCGGATAACGGCCCGATAAAATTCCTATTTGTTGAAGGGCTATTTGGGAAGGGAATTTTGTTATTTTCGGATAGAGTGACGAGTGCTTCGATTTGTGGTGGGGTGATTGAAGCTGCAAGTTTGCCCAGAGCATGGTTTTTCTTTCCTTTGCTCTGGCTTAGACAGGAGTTTACACTACTAGGCAAATAATTGAGTGATCGGAAACATATAGACATGCTTACATAAGCTAATGTGAAAACACTACTGAGATTGATAAGAGTCTGTACTAAAAGCTGCAGCCATTAGTGGATTCAATACTTCACAACACTTGCAAACAAAAAAAATCATCCCTAAAAGGTCAACTTTCCTGCTTCAAACAACTCAACTTTTCTCGAAAACTCTGAAAGATGGAATCTTTTTTCTAGAATTGCCAAGAAAACTAGCCCTTAATGAACCAGCCACTAGCAAAATTCACCCTGAAAAATGAGATCTTTTTCAAGAATTCCCAATAAAATTATCCCTCTTAATGGGCAGCCACTAGCAAATTCACCCTGAAAGATTTCATCTTTTTCAAAAAATGCCAAGAAAACTAGCCCTTAACGAGCCAGCCAATAGCAAAATTCACACTGAAAAATGGAATCTTTTTCAAGAATTCCCAACAAACTTGCCCTTAATGGGCACCCAATAGCAAAATTCAACCTGAAAAATGGAATCTTTATCAAGAATTCCCAATTAGCCCTCAATGAGCAAAAATCTCTAAAACCCCTTAAAATCAAAAACCCACAATCAAAAAAAAAAAAGAAAAAAATCAAGAAAAAGCTGAAAAGGCCAAGTGGAGTTTAGGGGGAAAGGGCTCAAAGAAGAGAGGTCTCTATCACAAATAACAACAAACAGAGAAAAAGAATCAAGTGACCCTGGAAAGTTTCTTAACCGTGCATGTCTGCAATCACATTGTCTGAAAGATCAAAAAAGAAAATAATAATTTTGAATTCAATTATTGAGAAATATATATATTTATTTTTGTATCGGTTGGTTTTTGTGGAAATGGGCCACAACATGGTGCGTGAGGTTTCCTTCAAAAAGGTGAATCAATGATTAACACAAGAAAGTGAGGTGAGCTAGGTTACAAGATACAATAGCATAACATGTATGAAATCTATTGGTTGTTAAATCAAGATATCAAATGATTTTTAAATTGAAGGGTGAGTGTAGTGTGACGTAGGGGTGTAAACGAGCCGAGTTTGGATGTTTTGACCAGTTTGAGTTTGAATCCATTTTGATCGGCTCGAACCGAGCTTCGCTATTTTGGCGAGCTCAAGTTTTAATCCATTTTGATTGGCTCGAACCGAGCTTGGCGTTTTTGACGAGCTCGAGCTTGAATCTATTTTGATCAGCTCGAGTTCGAACTCGAGCTCTTCTAGTAAATCTTTTTGGACGTGAACTCATTTTGTGCATTTTTTTTATTAATATTATTATAAATTATAATAACAAATTCAAAATAAAAGAAATGACATGTAATTTAACTTTTTAAATTATTTATACGAATTTACTATTTATTTTGTTTATTAATTATATTTAAAATAAAAATAAATAAAAAGGTCGGCTCGCGAGCTCACAGACAACTAAGAACTCCACTCTTTCGAAACCTCGAGCTCGAAAAATTCGAGTTCGAGCTTTTGTTGAGCCAGCACACTGAACTTATGATGGAAACAAGGGTGTAAATTGGAATTGAATTTTTCGACGAATTCGTAGATTTTAGAGGAAAAAAAAAACGGTTTTTGGACAATAATTTTTATCCTAGATTTCGTCAATTCTAATTTTTGATTTTTCCAAAATATTTTGGATTGAAATTGGAATGTACATGATATTCCGATTTCCAATTCCATTATAATTTTTGAAAATTATTAACACTAAGAATATTATTATGTGTTAAAAATGTTTATTTGAGTCCAAATTTAACACCATAAGTTTCTGTGACTTATCTTGATGGGCCCAATTCCCAAACTCAAGGCCCATACTCAAATATTCTCTGACATTGCTATCGATAATATTCATAATATTTATATTTTATTTATAATATTACATTCTTTTAACATATTTTAATTACATATAAAAAAAAACATATTTGATGCATGCAATAAGAATTGCAGTTCTAAATCATTTATTATTAAAATCTCCTTTGTCGATGCTTTTTATTCATGAGATCCAATTACAAAGATGCAAAATTAATGTACCATAGCCATCAAATTTATACCAATAAGATCTGATTTATTTATTTATTTCATTAAATTATTTTATTTTATTTTATAATTGAAATTCTGCTATTTTGACTTGTTGTCGGCTAAGAGCCACCGCCCAGGTAACTTGGTCAAACCAAACAAGTCAATAGAGACGTTGCAAATAAAATGCACATCATTTATTCCCTATTAGAATTTCATGATACATACATTAATCACTATTTTTCCAACTTTACCTCACCACTTATAAATTTAAATTCAAAATCTCACACCCCACCAAATTCCTAAATTAATCAAATCTAGCAATTTTTAAGATGTTTACGAAGAAGCTCAGCCAAACGGGCCTTAAGTAATGGACATGACAAATCCAATCATTTATCGTGAAACTATATTTCGATTCGGTAGGTTATTTGATGACGTCAACTTTATACCAATAAAGAATGAACAATAATAATATACATAAATGAAATATCATTTTTACAACAAAAATTTGGAAAATTACATACATATATATATATATACACACACACACACACACTTGTAATTGATTCCAATTTTTGGATATGAATGTTTCTTGTGTTAAATCTATACATTAAACATCAAAGAAAACTTCTACCATGTTCTCCCTTTTGTTTTGTTTCATGCACCATTTTGTTCAAGAATATATATTTGTGTCCAAATTTAATGTACAAGAATTAAATTTATTATTATATTAGTATTTAAAATGAAGAAAGATCGACCATATTAATGCCTTTATTCATGATTCACACAAATACAACTTGTGTAAATAATAATAAAATAATTAAAAATGTGGGAACAAAATAAATAATAGCCATTGACTAAGTTGCCCCATTGTGGCCTCTTCCCCCAACCAACCCACATCACATTCTCACTCTTATCTCTTCTCTTTCTCTTTCTCTCTCTACCCCTCTCTCTCTCCTCTTTCTCTCACACACACAAACACACACACAAATTACACACATATATACTTGCACATTATAACAGAAAGTCCACAGATCATTTCTGAATTATATATTTTTAGTGATTTACTCAATTCCATCTCTGAATTAGCACCACCACCACCACCCATCATCAAACGGAGAAGAAAAAAAAAGGGGGGGAAAATTCTTACAGAAGGTTGTTGTTTATGGAGGGTTTACAGAGATCTGCTGTATCGTTCAGGAGGCAAGGCTCGTCGGGATCGGTGTGGGACGATAAATTCCTCGCCGGATTGCAGCAGCTCGCCAATCAGCAGAAGCTGGAGAAGGAAATCAGCGAGAAAGCTCAACAGGAGAGCAAAGAGGATTCCTCCGCCGCCGCCCCCGCCGTGCCGGACGCCTCGGCTGCCGGAGTGAGGAATCCATCGCCGCCGCCGGTGTTGACGATCGAGCGGAGCCGATCCAACGGCGGACGGGGTTTCCGCACCGGAAAGGTGTCGCCGGCGATTGAGCCGCCGTCTCCCAAGGTTTCCGCCTGCGGACTCTGCAGCGGTTTCGGGAAGAGTAAGAAGACGCGCCGCCGGCCGGCCAAGTCCGGCAAGCGCGTGATGTGATGATTTGCAGCGATCTCGACGGAAAATTGAGGTGGGGGAATTTTTTGAAACTTGTATGAATGAAAAAGATCGAATGATCTTTGTTCTGGATTCTGTTGGTTTGATCTCTTCGTTTGTAGAATTTAGGGATTTATGGAATAGGTTTTTTTTTTTTTTTTTTTTTTCTCGTTGATAATTTCTAGAGTTGGGTGTAATATATATGTGTGTGTGTTCATCTTTCTTTATCAATGGAGATTGCTTAAGCTTCTGTGATTCTCTCTTTCTTCGTTTATCGAATCGAACCGCATAATTGTTTGTTGAAGCTTGTTTGATTTTTCTATAGAATTTTTCAAAGGTGTGTTTGAACTTCATTGTTTGATAAGCAACTCGAACAAGGTATAATCGAGTTGAAGACGAGTTAACTCGATTACATATTTGATTTTCAGAGGTGTGTTTGAACTTTATTGTTTGATAAGCATTAAGCAACTCGAACGAGCTATAATCGAGTTGAACACGAGTTAACTCGATGACATATTTTGATTTTCAGAGGTGTGTTTGAACTTTATTGTTTGATAAGCATTAAGCAACTCGAACGAGCTATAATCGAGTTGAACACGAGTTAACTCGATGACATATTTGATTTTGAACATATTCAATCGACGTTTAAGGATTTGTTAGGTTACAAGATGCCGTGTATTAGGTGTACATTTCTACTAGGGTTGAAATTCAAATGATTCCAAAATCCAAATTGATATTTAGAAGCTACTATGAGTTTGATAAATTTCTCGCCCGATTGCGGCAGGTCGCCAATCAACACAAGCTCAAATGATTCTAAAATCCAAATTGATATTTAGAAGCTACTATGAGCTTGATAAATTTCTCGCCCGATTGCATCAGCTCGCCAATCAACACAAGCTCAAATGATTCCAAAATCCAAACTGATATTTAGAAGGTACTATGAGCTTGATAAATTTCTCGCCGGATTGCAGCAAATCACCCATCAACACAAGCTCCATTCAGCGATCGTTAGTATGATGATTCGAACTTGTATCAATTGACACTGGTTCACTTGCTCCAACAGTTAGACAATTGCGGGACCGAGCTCGATTTGTATTAAATTGATTAGAAGATGTTCAAGAGATAATAATTGAGCTAAGCTCATCAGAGTTGAGAACATTTAGAGAAAAAATGCATGTCATTTTCAAGCAGGTTCGTCTATATTCTAGTTGATCTAATCCTTAATAAAATATTTAGTCGACCTAATTATTATCATTTATCCATATTTTGTGGGTAAAATTGTATATTTAATTTAATCATACTAACCACCCCGTACCCTATTATATATCAAAATAGAATCAATCATTCGGGTGTAGTTTGTGAGTTATTTACAATTGCAGGTTCTTTTGTTAGAAAAATAAAATATATTGCAAATTTTGTCTCATTTAATTATCATAAATTAGTGGAGTAATAAAAATTATCAAAGCAATTATTGATTGATACGTTGACATACTTTAAAAATATATAGACAACCGGTGAGAATAAATCATTATATAATTTATTTATTGTCATTAATTTACTGATGATGATCATTAATTAATTATGGCAGTATTGAAAATGTCTGCTATATAATTTATTTAATATTAGGTAGTTAGGTCATAAAGTTTGACCTCAACCAACGTATATACTGGCAATGCTCCAAACCAATAAATTAAGAACTAATAATAAAAAATAAAAATAATAACTTTCTTTTGAATACTTTAAACATTGGAACAAAAATGGCATCAATGTATGATCCATGGCGCATTCAGTCAAATTCTGGTTACTTTTGGTAACTTCAACTTTGGTTTAATTTATTTTTTTAAATAAATTAAAGTTGGTTAAAAAATTAGGAAGCAATTTTATTGATTTATTGACATACCAAAGTAACCAAAACCTACGAAGAATTGTCAACTGACAATCACTATATACTAATGGTCAAAGTCAAACGAGCTGTTAAATTGTGCTATGGGTCAGTAACTAACTCACTGTTCAGAGATCTGCTTGAATAATTAGACAATGCATGTGACCTTGTAAAATAGCTATTAAATTAAAAAAACAATAAGAAAATATTTTTCAGTCACTTGAGCTTAAGACCTTAATCTGATCTTCGATCAATAACATCATGCCAAACAAGCCCTAATTAGTTAAAACATCATTGAAAAAGGGGGTAATTTGAGAAAACAAAAGAAAAAACAAAAGGCAAATTACCCAAAAAAAAAAAGGCAAATTACAGTCACCCCTGAGCCCCGAGGCAATGTCAAATTACGAAAAACTCTTCTTGTTTGGGTAGTTACAACCACCCTCAACTATGTATATTCTTACACGTCCATCTTTACATTGTTCAATTTAAGTGTTCAATTTACCTACTGGGAGAGGGTTTTTTCGTAAGACAATACATATTTGAAGAAGTGGTTGTAATTACCCAAACAATAGGGAGTTTTCGTAATTTTACCTTATCTCAGGGGACGGCCGTAATTTGGCCAAACAAAATACTATCACACTATGTTAGTTAAAAGTCCTTCACCCTCTTAAACGCTATAGTTCAAGTGCTAATACGCCCGCCTTCTCTTCTCAGTTAACTCAACTCAGTCGACTCAGTTAAGTCGATTGAGCATTTGACTCGAAAAACCAGTTAACTCGAGAGAAGAGAGAGTTGACTGAAATTAGTTGACTCAACTGATTGAAATCATCCAACTAAAAATGATCTGTAGGGGTAAATTTGGCAAAAAATAATTAAAGGATACACAAAAGAGGAACTTGGCTAAAATCAAAATCAAAATAAATGAACTTTAATTAGTCCTTACCTTTATTATTGCAACCAAGTGATAGAATTTTTATCTAATTTCCCTTGTAAAAAAAGAAAGTCATATGCTTATGGGGAATGGGACACACAAATTAGTATGAAATTAATAGTAATAAGATATAATCATAAGTTAATTGACAGTTAACTAAATGATAATTAAGTCACGAGATAGCCAGCTGTATATCAATATAACACATCACATCATACTCACAAATGCGCCAAGTTTCATCCCATTAGCAATGATAAAGACAGATCCATGCCAATTCTTTACATTGTTATAGTTTTAGAATTAGATCATGTCTTTTGTAACATGGAAAAAGGCAATAAAGGGATTATAATACTATATTAACAAAAATTAAAAATCATGTTGCAATTATACTTATCCTTGAATAAAAAACATTTACTTGAATGTGTTGATACAACAAAGTTGAGAGAGAAAGTAATTTGGTTAACATAGCACACCTTTGAAGACGACGACGGTAGAACGGGCGAGAAGGGGTTTCACATGTATTTTCTAGCGAGGGCTCGAACTTTTGTATCGAAATGCGATGATGTGATGCGACTTCCGGGTAGGTAGAGGGGATTGAGAAGAGTCTGTTAAAATGAAGGCTCGTAGTTCATCAAATTTGTTATATGCATTCACTGAATAGTTCTATGTGTTCCTTTCTCGAAGGAGAAGGAGAAAGAGAAAAATAAATTCTACAGATTGATATAATTCGACTCGCATTAGAAAACTACTTGAATCTTTCTAGCATTGAAACTATTCGAATTTTACGAAGACAGTGGAAACAAAAAGGTCAGCCACAAGTCTTTCTAAAAGCAGGCTAGGTGGAAATTGACAGAGCAGAACTTCACATCGTTTCTCTTTCTCACTCAATCGAAGAGGAAAAAGACTTTATTACGTTATTACGCCCCCCACCAAAAAAAAAGACACTTTCTTTCGCAATCACAACTCATAATCTTTATTAAATCCCACAATCAGAAACAAGATAACAAAAAAAAAAAAAAAAAAGGGAGCAAGCGAAGTACTTGTTCTTTGTTAAATTAAATTCACATTATTTTGGGTTCTCAATCGATCAATTTTTTTATCTATCTATTCCAAGATTTTAATGTTTTTGATCAATCTTACACATTCACCTAATCCACTTGCATTGCTGATATCAGATTTTCAAGCAGTTCAGGTAGGTGAAGGTGTTGTTAGAAATCAAATATATACACCTAGGATAGATAAAAGCAACTCTATTAAAGGGGACTTCGAATGTTGTGCTGCAACATAAGGTAAAAGTATTTGATTAATGACATTAAAAAATGATAACGAATCATGAAATAGAACTTGCCTTGATATATAACTCGTGAACCTCTTGGAAGAAACTCTTGATCCCGTCGTCATTACGAGAGTCGTGAAGCAGCATTAATCGAGTATGTATGAACTTTATCAGTTAAGGAAACAAATAAGGACATATGGGAATTAGTCACATTAATTAACAAAATAAAATGTATTTCTAAGTTTGACAAATTGGTAGGAGTGAAATGGAACTATGAATTCAGTTAATTCAACTCCGGAAGAGAAAACTGGAAAACTCGTAGAGGACTTTTAAAGATTGATA